TGTTGTACAATATATATATATATATATATATATATATATATATATATATATATATATATATATATATATACAGAATCCGATATATGTTTTAAGAAAAGAGGGCACCTTTGCTGTAGGCATTCAATGTTCAAGTTTCAGTCAGCAAAAGTTGCCAAAGATCCGATTTTCAACTTAATTCCTTACAAACCTGAATGAGTAGCTGCGTTAAAGCATTATCGACATCACGACGATTAACAGTTCCTGCTTCAGCAGAGGCTCGCAATAATTCACGTCGTACCAGCAGGATGGGTTCCATGATGTTAGAGCACTGCACAACACACTCTGATCTGCTCTGAATGTTTTCGAATTTGATTTATAAGCAGAGAAAGAAAGGAAAAATGGGAATCATTGTGATTTCGCAAACGCCACGCGGTCGTAAAATGTCTATAGCGAATAAACAGACTAGCATGTTTCTAGTAACATGCAAATTTGTCAATTGGTCATGGTATGAGAGAGCTTCTATAGCTTCTCAGTTGCTGCTGCTCGGATACCACAAAAATCAAGCGCAACCCTTTTAACCCTTCTACTCTCGTTTTTTTTTTATATGAAAGATTCAAAGAACAGGCTTTCAAAAGGACATTAACTCAAAAATTTTATATGCACCCATTTATAGTAGGATAATGAATCATAATTGGAATGATGAAATCTTACTACCTGCCACTTACTCAGCACAGCATTCAATTTGAGAGTTGTGTTGCAGGAAAGGAGGGAAAGGGCATCCGTACTCTCATCAATCTCATCCAGAATGTGTAAACTTGATAAAGACGCATTTCAAGAAGTTGGAAAATTCAACTCTAAGACATACTTTGTTATATACTTATACGCTTGAGCATAAGTGTTCGAATCTTCAATAGTTTTGGCAGTGATTCGTTCAACAAGACGTTCACGGGCTGCCAGTAGTCGCTCCGTCAATTTCATGGCTTCTCGTCGTTTCACAGCACAAAGGATAGAAGCGCAAGATGCACCCCAGGAAGAGTCATTGCG